TGGGTCGCGACCCATAGTTTGGGAAACGCTGCACTAGAGTCACATGTTGATAGTTTATACTATGAAGTTCTCTCAGAGGTTCAGAGAGGCCCGAGCTATTTCTATCTTTTGAAGCTCCTGACTGTAATAAGAATAAATGATGACACATTAAAGCAACATATGACAATCATTAGCCCAAAAGAAAAGTGAAAAATAATCTGCATATTTAAATTGTATATATGTTTTGCAGCTGTAAGCTGAGAGTGTGTCACATTTTAGTCTGATTGGGAGGCACACAAAAACAAATGTCTAAATTTCAGGCCCGAGCCAAATGGCCCTTTATTTAATTGGCCCTAGATACTATCAATGAAATAATTGGTTGAGTTACAAAGACCAAACTTTTCAAAAGTGATTTTTTAGTAACTCAGGGTTTACTCTTTATGTTATACGTGACAAACCAGTAGAGATTTTGTCAAAGACATAGCTGTGAGTACAGGTGTGAATGTTGTTCTCAGAAAAGGAAGATACACATTAATACGAAGTGGCTTTAATAGATGTGAAGCTGCTCAAAAACCACTGCTTAGGAGAAATAAACAAACCAAAAGGCTGAAATAGGCAACTTCAAACAATAGGATAAGCAAAGTTAGAGAACGATGATTTTTACACCCAAATTGTTTGGAAACAATCAACGATAGTTTGTTCGATGGCAGGGGGAAGAACAGTATCACGGGCAAAAACTATACAAGATATGGTGTGGAAACAATACGGTTGTGGGTTGCATCTCAGCTAACGGTGTTGAAAATCCACACAGAATTGATGGCACCCAGGCTGCTGAAAGGATATTCTTATCCATAGTCATTATCTCAGGAACAATATCTGTTGGGTAGGAGTTAATTTTCAACCAAGAAAAAGAGGCCAATGGAACATTCACTGCAATGGCTTGGCCTGCAAATGTCCCGATATGAATATTATTAAGGCTGTAGGAGCTTAGATGGAAACTGAGCAAGTTAAACGGAAACCCAACATTTGGTTGAATTGTGAAGAGTAATGCAAGACATTAGGAACAATACTTCACAGTCATTCATTGATAAACTTATGGTAGCATAAAAAAAAAGAAGCAAGTTAAAAGTTCTTAATTTTACAAATTATTGGAATTCATTTCGGATTTTCTAAGATAATGCATTGTATTAATGATAAATAATCGTTTAGTTGTAATTACTCATTGTTCGTAACTTCTGTATGTGCATCACTTGTGTGTTTCCATAATTATTTTCAGTTATTTATGTTAAAATATAATATTTGTGTTCGATAAAAAATAAATCTGACTTTAATTTAAACTTATCTTTATTGACTGAAGTTCTGCACTATTAACTAACATATAAGCTTTATAAACGAATTTTGCATATTACAGAAGGTTTATGTTCACGCATATCTATTTCTCTTGTAAAATATTAACATCACTTTTCACTTATTACAACAGTGGTATTCATTATAAATAAAAATGTAAACATGCAAAAATTAAAATCTGTTCATAGTATTTAAAATTATGTGATTTTTATGCAATTCAGTATTTTTGAAAGTCATTTAAACCAGGAATCTAAAATAAACAACTGAATAATAAATAAGAGTTAATTTTACCATACAGACGAAAATTAACAATGCAATTCGCGAGTTGTGAAAAAGGGGAATTAAAAAAAAAAGAGGAAAATATTCACGTCACAAAAATTCCATCATAAGTAGCTTTTTCTAAGGATGAGAGATTAGAAGACTGTTGCGCAGTTTTGACGAGGAGGTAATAATTCTTTTCCTAAAGTTATTTGTCATAATACATAAATGAAGATATCAGTTTACACTAGATGGCGCGTCAGTCGACAAAATAGAATATACTGCATGTCAGAAACAGACAAGAAACTCTAAATATGAATGATTTATTTTTCCGGATTATAACGTTTAACGATTATAATGTTTCATTCAATGGGAACATATAAAAATGCAACTGCAATTTAGTAGGACAGAAGACTGTTAGAACATTTACCACTTATCTGTTTTTTAATTAGCAACGAAATTTGCAGTTTTAGGTTTAACAATAAAACACACCACTTTAAATCATTATAATTTCATTTCGAGCCATTAATTAAAATAAAAATATATTTCCAAAAAACATTCACATGTTTACTTGGTGGCTTACCCAGCTAGAGAATATTGTACAGTTAAGGCATGTTCAATTAGCTTTATAGGGTTAAAAAAACAAGGGATTCCTAAATGTACTTAGCGACGAGCACAAATATAACAAACATACTGTATCAATAGAGCATGCAGTATCGTGAAATTACAAAAAATACGTTCTTAGCATCACGTGAGGTTGGTTGAACATGCTTAAACTATTTGTTTTAAACACAAAGCGACATAGTGGGTTTTCTGCACTGTACCCAGCGAAGGTGTCTATCACCAAATCTTGAGGTTATAAGCCCTCAAATTGACCACTGAGCCACAGGGACCATCCAAATGGTACAGTATGTTTTACTTGTGCAAGCTACCAAAGGAATTGTTTGCAAAATTTTGTTGTTTTTAAAAGATCTCAGATTTTCTTATTATTTACTAAATCATTATATGCCGCTGACGTCCAATTTTTAGGTTTTACCTTAGTGTTTAATTTATAAGAAAAACAGTATGTCACGTTTGCATTTCAAATTTAACTTGGTAAAGCATAGACCCGTTCAAACATTGCGTATACATCAGATGCAAGTTCAAACTCAAAAGTCGCTTGAAAGACTCGTTCCCTTGACGACAAAGCGATGACTATAGAATTTGAATGCCAAGAATAAAAGTTAAAATCACCATTCCGTAGTAGCATAACGCGTAGAAAGTAGACATTCTAGAAAACAAAATATCTTACGCTAAAATTATTCATAAATAGCTCTAATAGGAATTTTATCTTTCTTAAACTAATAAATGTTCGTTCTATAAAGGTCAAAGGTCCATATTTTTGTGTCATGTTTGTCTTTCATCGAAGGACTACAAGGTATGTGGAATACCAAGCAGTTATATATATAGTTCGAGACGAATCTGCTGTTGTCTAAATAGGTAGCATAACGTGTAATTGGAGCGATATGATAATTTTCATATCCTATCAACTCAATGAAACTGAAACAAACAGATTTACCGATCTAACACGTTTGCAGCAAGACTTTTCAAACTTTGTTATCACCACGATAACACTGAATTCTGTATGTTCTGATAACTTCTAAAACTGCACTTTGAAACAGCTTGAACTCTTGATAACTTTCAAGCGTTTGGATAACAGGAGAGAGAGAGAGCACTGTTCGATAGAGTTGTACCTTTGTTAAACTATAATTGAATAATGCTTTTCAGCATAGAAATTACGATGAAAAGATAACACATAATACTACTGAGATTTAATGTAAATCTTACGTGTTGAAGTGCACGTCGAGCATCAGATGAGGTCGATCCCAGTAAGGACATTTCATAAACTGTACACGACAGAAAGAATATAAATTATATATATAGAGGAACAAAAATAAACAACAACAGAAAAAGATAAGGCAGAACGTATCGTTTGTTGCGTATTTAATAATTTATTTCGTGATGATTTATACCTTAAATACTCATGTAAACATACTTAAACCTATTTGTTGCTTTTGAAGCATGTTAATTTTCGCTTAACCCGATAATCTAAATTAATTTCTTACCCATTCGTTCAGTACTAAACAATATATTGTGATATCGGATATTTAGAATAGTGTTTTTTTTTAATGTTAGTTTAGTAATTATAAAAACAAAATTCTTAACTTACGCATTCTTTTTCTGCACCTTATGGGTTAATCAGATATACTTTAACCATCGAACATTTGTGGATATTAATATATAATAATTATAGGCATGCCGATGAGAAAATTATGTCCTGTGAATTTCCCGTAAATAACAAAGTACTTTCAGTTGCCCTCTGAGAACCAAAACTCAATGAAAGTACCGTTATAAAGTTTTTCACTAACAAGCCTTTCTCTCAATTAACGGTAAATTTTGTGAACTGAAACAGAGAAAAGGCGTGGTTTTCGAAGCAGAATGTATGTTTGTTTGTTTGTTTATTCTATTTCAAGGGTTTTAGTTATTTGACTTGCACACGCAATCTTCTAGCTATAAGAACAAAAAAGTTTAAAAAAGAAAAGTATGAACAACATTCTAATTCAACACAAACTGACTTGGAGATATATCTCTTACCATCAAAAATTAGTATATCACACACACACACACATATATATACCACTTCAAAAATAACCGAAGGGTAAAACTGTATAGATAAGTGTCCTTATCATATCAGAACATATTTTAAGTACCATTTATGTACTAAACCCGCCAATAGATCAGTTTCATTGGCTATACATCAATTTCACAAAATACATCTTGTGATATAAATAATGTCTCAATCACTACTATCCCAGCCGGTCTGATAAGCTCTGGTATTGGATGAAAGACCTCGTCGGCATTGAATATAACAGATATGGTATGGTATGGTTGACATAATGCTATGCATTCTTCTTTACGTTTAACCATAAGTTATTAGAATAAGCACTCTCAAACTTAAAATTGCCAGAATTATGTTCTGATTGACTTACCTTGTCTGAAATAGTAGCATTTGGATAAAAAAAAAAGAAGAGAAAAAAAACAATAACGAGTATGGATCATTACCATTGATAAAGTCCACTGCATTGCGGAACGTATTTCTGATCAGTTAACACACATTATGGGTAACTGTGTCCCATTGCTCAGTCAGCGTAACACCTGATTCTCTGGAGTACCATAGTGGGTTCAGTCTTTTACGTATACAGTATTCAACGTGATTGAAAGAAATGTTCTTTGAGATTAAGATCAGGAATTTCTGCTTACCAGTTAATGACCTCTATTGTTTTTTAAGGTAGTTTCTCACATTATGAAAACACGACACCGAGCATTATCCTTCATGACTGAGATTGGTCTAAGGTTATAAAACTGGGTCTAATGTCACGTTGCAAATCAATGAGAAGTAAATCTACATTTGTCCATTCGTACTAACGCTTCACAGCACCATAACTGAACCGCCTGGGACACCAAACACAGTTAACAATGTTACACAATCGTCTATCCAGACAATAACTAACCTGTCGATCGTTGGTCCAGTCATAGTTAACAATATTACACAATCGTCTATCCAGACAATAACTAACCTGTCGATCGTTCGTCCAGTCATAGTTAACAATATTACACACTGTTATGGTATAAACGACCTTTATAAGCAAGATTATAACTAATTGAAAAATTTCTATGGCGGACATTGTGTGGTTGAAATACTATTATATACTCTTCTTCTTCTTGAGAAAAAACCTAAGGGACTGAATAAAGATTGTAGTGCTAAAAATATAATAGGCCTAATATTAATGTTTTATGACAAATATAATTAGTATTACACATTGTTCAACTTTAACTTTCCAGATATGAACCCATCAATCAGTGATCCAGTTATAGTCGACAATGTTACACATTAAGAGTATAAAAAGAAAAACAACTGACGATTTCTGGCACATTGAAAGATAAACTTTTTATTAGTTGTTTCGGCCGACTGATTTCGGTAATACAGTTACGTGTAAATAAGGGTTTATGATTATAGTGTTAGCTTAGCCTATATTAAACACCAACCTTTAATAGGTTACTTAATCTTAATAATATTATCTTATTGGTTCTTACCCTAAAACTCTGATTTGTAAATGACTTAAATAAAATTAATAATAATTACAATTAACTTACTTAATCTAGTTCACACCATAACTATCGATGTTCACGAAAGTTGATGACATAAATAGCACCTAAATAAATAGCACTGTGGCTGTCTATTTCAACCAGCCTGACGAGCTCTGGTATTTAGCGAAAGGCCTCATCAGCACTGGATATGGCATATATGGATATATTCTTCTTTACTTTCACTCACAGGTTCTTAGAATCAGTTGAAGTAAACAGTTGTGTAACTTCCACCATAGAATTGTTAAAATCTTTGCCTCGTGATTTATCGATAGTTTATCATAATTTCTTTTGAGACATATTGTTCAACTTTAGATTTCCAGACCTGAACCAGTAATTGTTAACAATGCTCGACATCGTTCAACATTAGCTTTCTAGACATGAACCCATCGATCACTGGTCTAGTCATTGTTGACAATGCTAGACATCGTTCAGTGTTAGCTTTCCAGACATGAACTCATCGATCACTGGTACACACTTAAAGCCTTGACATGTTAGCATTTAATTAACTTTAGCTTTCCAGATATGAACCCATCGATATCTCATACAGAATTGAAACCTTGACTCATTTGGGAAGAATACGGGTACTGAAAGGCGTTGCTGCTAATTCTGGTGATCTCAAAATTATAACAAGCCAAGCAATGAACTGCGATGTTGAAACCAAAGTTCTATATTTTTAAGTCAGACTGATAAAATTTATTCCTTACTTATTGATCACAGATTATCATCCCAATTACTATCTCGAAGTTAATAAATAGTACATTGGCAGTGGACTAGCCATGTTCAGTTTTATGGAATAATGTTCGTTTTGTCTAAGCTTCACTACAGTATAATTCCTGAAATTCAAACACTAATGAGACTTGAGTATTCTTTGAAAGTCATAATGTGGGTGATAATAGCAACCAAATAAACTTATCATGCTGTTAATTAGACTGTGTTTTTCCATAGTAAGATAATTTTAATTGTATTTTTAGGTTTAACGTGATGATATGCCAATTACTTTCAGTGAAAACTGTTTTATCTCTAAGGAGTTTATCTCCAGTGGAGTTCATGTATATGAAAAAATGTTGTTATGAACATTAAATACTTTAGTGGAGTTCAAGTCTATGAGAGAAAATATATTAGAATAAACATTATTTACTTAGTGGAGTTCAAGTCTATGAGGGAAAGGCTGTTAGTATAAACATTACATACTTTAGTGGAGTTCAAGTCTATGAGGGAAAGGCTGTTAGTATAAACATTACATACTTTAGTGGAGTTCAAGTCTATGAGGGAAAGGCTGTTAGTATAAACATTACATACTTTAGTGGAGTTCAAGTCTATGAGGGAAAGGCTGTTAGTATAAACATTACATACTTTAGTGGAGTTCAAGTCTATGAAGGAGGAGTTGTTTATATAACATTATATACTTTAATGGATTCGTTTTGAGTTTACTTACTGATTAAGTATGTTTTATTAGAATTTACAGGTTTTACTGTAAGTAAGGTTTGTTTTGAGAATAGGTACGACGTTTCGATCATTCTCAAGTACATAACTTGCCTATGGTGAAAATGCAATTAGTCTAGTTTTCAACATCTTTATGTAGAAACAAATAATGCTATATGTATATATATATATATATAGCTAAGCATTTAGCACCTGAATTAATACATAAAATATGTGACATACGTCATCTTTCTGTGTGTTTTATTATTTCAAATTTACGTTTAGTACGTGCTGTCTCAGGTGCAACTACACTGTAGTGAAATACACAGATAAAAATGTCTAGTGTCTTCTCTATAGGTTTTGCTCTTTCTAATTTATAAAATATTAATCAAATAAGTACATTACATTGGTTTTATAACGATCCTGTTAGCCATATTCACTGATTGATATAAATTCAATAGTCTTCTAAGTATATTGGGTTCTATTAATTTTAAATATTGACTCTTGTTTTCTCTAAGAATATTAGAAAAAAACGATTCCCATAATTATTTTCCTGTAGTCAACATTTCATTTTAATGTAGTAGCTCTAGTATCTTGTTAATAACAAACGTATTTATTTCAATAAGCATTTCTTAACCAACGATAAAACTTTGCATACAAAGTAATTTATTTTTATCTAATGTAACCCAATTCCAAAACAACTTTCTTGCACCTGGATTAGAAGACGAGAAATAAATAATGTTGAATAGCAGCTTCTGTACCTTCATTATTTTAGCAATTCGCTGTATTATCTCAAGTTTACAAACACTAAATGATGTGTGGTTGTCTAAGAAAATAATAGACGTCTTCAAATATTCTTGATTTCACAATTTTGGGTTTTACAAACGATATCATTATATCAGTTTCTTTAAAACAAAATAAACAAATATAAATAAAGACCCAAATATTAATTTGTTATTTAGTTTCTTAAACTGCGTTAGAAATTACAGGCCTAACAAAATTACGTTTTTTTTTTCTTATTACACAATATACAAACATTAGGTGCTAGAAATATTCAAACTAAATGTACACCAAAATTTAAGTTTGTCTTAGATCATAATTTGATTGTTTTTGCAAAGTATATAAAATCTTTATCAAACAAAGTCATAGTAGATAGGAACTTCAAGTAAAGTATAATTAATATATAACTAACAGACGGTTTACTTATACCTTCTATAGTGAAATATATTCTATTATTTTCAAACCATAGTGGATGTCTGCCTCCAGTTATTCCAGTACTAACATATAAACTCTGCCTAAAGTTTCACCCCTACTACAACCAATTCAGAATGATAGCATACAAACACAATACAAAGCTTGGCCCGTACTAATATAGATTGAAATTGAGAACGTAAAAACATTGTTGAAATATTGCTATCTATTTACAATCATATTATAAAAGCCTTGCCTGTAATATTATTTGTGTACATTACTAGAGCACACAAACATTGTTGAAAAACTGACTTGTACTATTCACAATACCACCATACAACTGTTGTTAAAAGTTTAACAATGACAATTGTCTAACTACAATATCATCGTTATTCTAACGACGTTAAAATTCTACTTCTACAATAACAGCACAAATATCGTGAAAATATTGATCTGCGCTGCTGTTTATGACAAAAATAGCATAAATATATTACTGAAATGTGACTGTAACATCATGCACACACAATATAAGCATGAAACAATGTAGAAAGTCTGACTTCTGGTAACATTGTCATAACGCGTAGAAATTTAAAAAACCTTACATATACAGCTTATAAGTATTGTTGAGACAGACTTTGAATACATCATTTACATACATTACCAAGTTTACAGACATTATTTGAGCCTCAAATATAATACAATATATTCAAAAGTAGCATAAAATCATTGTTTAGAGCCTGAAATATACCCATTACAGCACTGGCATAAAAACATTGTAGAGAGCCTGAGATATATTCTTTTCAGTACCAACATAAAAACATTGTTGAGAATCAGACATATATATACTACTTACAGTATCAACATACAAACATTTTTGAGAACCTGGCATACACTCTTTACAGTACTAGTATAAAAACATTATTAAGAGCCAGAAATATATACTATTTACAGTATCGACATACAAACATTTTTGAGAACCTGGCATACACTCTTTACAGTACTAGTATAAAAACATTATTAAGAGCCAGAAATATATACTATTTACAGTATCGACATACAAACATTTTTGAGAACCTGGCATACATTCTTTACAGTACCAATATAAAAACATTGTTGAGTGCCAGAAATATATACTATTTACAGTATCAACATACAAAAATTGTTGAAAGCCTGACATACATTCTTTACAGTACCAATATAAAAATATTGTTGAGAGCCAGCCATATGTGCTATTTAAAGTATCAACATACAAACATTGTTGAGATCCTAACCTGTACTGTCAGGTATGCCAACTACTTATGGAATATCAGCATGAACATATTGTTGAAAGAATGATCTGCCCAATCTGTTATTTACAATACAGCATAGGAAAATTATTGGAAACTGGACGTGTAGACACAAACTGATGGAAATGTGACTTTTATCATAGACATTTCACGATACCCGTATAAAAATAGTTGATTTCTTGAGATATATATTATATCAATGTCAGCACCCAACCATTGTTAAAAGCTTGACCGATAACAAAATATATCAACAATAACTGTGTAAGCTCACTAAAAAATTAGGCCTGGATGACTACGAATCTACAATTATATGAACATTGTCGATAAACTGTTATACAATAAATTATCTTTATCTTAACAGCGTTACAAACATTTTGAATTCCTGATTTGTACTATCATATTTTACAAAAATAGCTTAAACATTGTAAGGAAGCCTCACTTGTACCATAATCTATCTACAGTAACATAATATGTGTTGTAAAAGAATTGGCATGTGCTATAATTTAGATGTAATAAGAGTGTAAATATTAAACAAGGCTAAATCTGCATCTTTATCTATTTACAGTACTGACGTACAAACATTATTCAAAGCCTGGTACATCCTTTGTTTTTACAATATCACCATATAAGCAGCTTAGTTTGTACAGTCATCGATCTCCAATATTAGCATAGAAGTTTCCTTGAAATATTGACTAATGCTAACACAAACATTTTAGATGTATTGATTTGTGCTAACGTCTATACACAGTGCACCTATACAAACATTTTGAAAGCCGTGCATTTGTTATCTATTATCATCCATACACAATAGCATACAAACATTATTGAAAGATACACTTGTACTATCTACAATCATCTATACACAATAATAGCATACAAACGTTGTTTAAAGAAAATAGGCACTGTTATATATCTGCAATGCTAACAAATAACTTTTTTTTAGAGTTCAATTATAATAGTACTAATCTATAATAACATAATAAACATTATAGCGAGTTATACGTCAGTCACTCTATTCCAGTATGTACATTTCGTTGGAGGTCTGAGCCTGACCTGTACTATTTCGAATAACAAAATATATTTTTTTTACAAATCTGATCTGTATTACTTTGAAAATGAAATGTATTACTATAACTAGCAGAAATACCCGCCCTCTGGGCAGGTATAACTGCTACTTCCTGCGGAAGGCTATTGGGCCTGCGGCCTTTTCTGGAATTGTCTGACAGTTCTACAACAATTTACTCATACTTGACACTCATTAATGTTCATCATCCATGAGAAAAATGATTTTATTGAAATTTTAGCTTTAAAATGAGCTATCATCACAGAGTAGATTTTATTGAAGTATTTGTTTTTTGTAGACGCAGTTATCAATGAAAGTGACTTGCTTTTCTGTTGCAACAATCATGAGATTTTCACTAAAGAAAAACAAGTAATTTTTTAAAGTTTGTTTTATATTTGAAACTTACTCCTTTTTGTTTGTAATTTTTATTGGTTAAATCTGAAACATATAATTTTTGTGGAAATTTCAATAGTTTTATTTATTGCTCAGCTATAAAAATACTGCCTAGTTATAAAAATATTACCCAGTTATGATTGGTGCGGTAGTTTCCGAGATCTGAGTTTTGGACCTATACATCGCAAGCTCCATTATAATATGATTTTAGAATAACATAACTAATCAGACCTGTACTACACGTTTCGTATATATATATATATATATACACACACACGAAACATCAGCATGTTAACCTTGTATCATCTGTGTACAGGAACAAAATAGAGCTTTACGTGTGTGGAAGGACAACGACTTACATACGTCTGACACCATGTTTGGTACGTGTGGAAGTCTTCTTGTATCGCAGACAACCCATTTTGGTCTTCCACACCTAAAGCGAAAAAAAATAAAAAAGTAAGAAAGCACACATGGCGATGCTATTTTTTTATAACCTAAATACTTCTGTCATACAAATATTGTCAAATGCATATTTTGAGCTCTAATATATTCACAATACAACTATAACAGTATAGATAAAAAAATCTTTCGAAGACCTCAGGTGTACTTTAGTAATTATACAATACCTATTATAAAAGGCCTTGTCTCTATTGTAGCTAAATTTATAAACGAGCTTGTACTTTTTTGGTGAAAGTTTGGCACGTGGTGTCATAATAACATTACACAATAAACTCTGAAGTAAGTGTATATACTATACTATAATTCAGGTATGGTTCCATCGTTCAATCACTATTGAAAACACAATCTAGCTTATACTAGCAACTATTTACAATAACATATTAATCATTGTAGAAAATCTATAAGACGTACACTCATCCATTTACGCTGACAGCATATAAACATTGTTGAAAACCTGACGTGTAATATCGTATAGTTAATACCACAGCAAATCAACACTGTAAAAGGCATATCCTGTAGTATAACATATTTACAGGGTGTAACCAAAGTAGCCATTTAAACATTGTTGAGAGACTGACATATGCTATTATCTAGCTGCAATAACAGAATGAATATCATAGAAAGATAGGCCTGTTTTACAATCGTTATTAACAAAAAGGTTATTTTTAACACTGTAAAAAAAATTACGTTTACTATCGTTCAGCTACAATATACCAGCATATTGTTCACAATTCGACGGGTACCATCATCCATCTACAAAATAAAAATATTGCTGACAATGTGCTAAATACCATCATTCACCTACAATACTAATGTACTGTTGACAACTTGACGGGTATCATCATCCATCTACAATACAAGCATATTACTGATAACTTGGTGGGTACCACCATTCACGTACAATACTAATGTATTGTTGACAACTTGACGGGTATCATCATCCATCTACAATACCAACATATTGTTGGTAACTTGACGGGAACACTCATACATCTACCATTACAAACATATTGTTCGCAGCTTGACGAGTACTGTCATTCAACTATTATACTAATATATTGTTGACAATTTGGCGGGTATCATTATCATCTACAATATTAGTATATTGTTGACAACTTAACGGGTACCATCATCCATCTATATTAGTGGTTTTAAATCTGTGGTCATCCGTGTGAAGGGTACATAATCACAGACAAAAAACGGCAGCAGAGTGTTTAGATCCCACTGTAGTTCGTAATGAAAAATGTAAAGAATAATACGGTCCGAGAACAAACATTTTAACAATCACTGACCTATTTTACCTGCTTACAAACAACGTTGGAAGCTTGATCATTAATATAATATTTCTTAATAGCAACATACAGGAACTGTCAAAATCCTGATCTGTAATATAATCTATATATATAATAACAACATTGGAGTTTGGTAAGAAAAACTCTGGCCTGTATTACCAACTATCTACAAAGGCATCGCACAACAACCGTTAAAAAGCCAGGTATGTGCTATAACGATCTTAGCAAACAGCTGTTATTGACATCCAAACATGTATTACGATATCAAAATACAACTTTTTACTAAAAGACTATCCATACTATCGTGCTCCCCAGTGGCACAGCGGTATGTCTGCGGACTTACAACGCTAGAATCCGGGTTTCGATACCCGTGGTGGGCAGAGCACAGACAGCCCATTGTGTAGCTTTGTGCTTAATTACAAACAAAAACATACTATCGTCTATATAAAAGTTAGCCGGTAAACATTGTTGAAAGCCTTTCTTGTGCTATAATAGATTTACAGTATCAGTAAACATTGTTTAAAGCCTTGTCTATATTATAAGGAGTTTGCAATATCAGCATCATGCATTGTTCAAAGCCCAACTTTTGCTAATATCAATCGACAATAACAGCAAGGAAGCTATAGAAAGCCCAACCCATATTATATGTAATCTAGTAACTATTTCAGAAAATATTGTTAAAGTCAGACCAATGCCATTGTCTACTTACATGAGCAAATAAACATTCCGAAAGGCTTGAACTGTAGTATCTTCGATCTACATTATCAAATTAAACATTATTTATTACAAGTTACAGCTTTTATAGTAGGGAATAATATTTTTAAAACAGGTACGTCATTTCCATCATTAGTGCGGTCATTTTCAAGCGCAGTAAGTAAACTCAAAATGAAACTATTAAATTAAAAATTGTCGAAATCTTGTCCTGTATTATTAATTCAAAAATATAATAACAACAAATTTTACAATAAGCAAGTTCTGATTTTAATTATCGGGTCAACCTCGGGTAATATTTACGTTCAAAAAGCTATTTGAAGTCAACTTCCTTTTTTTAGTGTAAAGTAACTTTTACCTGATGGTGACCCGATACTACGGGTCGAAACGTTGTAATAATTAAAATCAGAACTTGTTTACTGTAAAAGTTGCTGTTATTATATTTTTGAATTAATTATTCAGCTCAGTAAGTTTCTAACTAAACATAAATTTGTCCTGTATTATAAATAACTTACAATAGCGGCATGTATTCTTGAAAGCTATTGCTCGTATGTCTATCTATGTGCAATACAAGTGCAGAAATACTGTAAAAACGTTTAAAATATCTGGCATGTGAAAGACACACTTTCCAATTAATGTCATTTAACTTTCTGTTCGACACCTGTGGAAAGTCTCATATTGTGTCATAGACTGCCTATTTCGGTCTTCTACACTTAAACAGAGACGGGTGGGAGAGAAATAACTTATAGACTACTTTTGTTACGCATTGGAATTTAATATAAAAATCTCCTTGTGTCAGATGTCTAACTTGTAGTAGAGTTAATTTATAGTACAATTGTACTGTCATTCAAAATCATTCAAGAATCCTAATGTGTACTATAGTATTGATACACAAAATATACGAAATCTAATGTGAATTATGCACTGTTTTTAATGGTAATATATAAACACTGTAAGTATTATGGTACATACTGTAAAATAGTCGAATTACAGCCCTATCGTGGCATAAAAAGTGGGTATGTTCGAGAAGAGGAAAAATACCACACACATATGTAATATATTTTAAATGTTAATGGACGGAGTTGGTCTCTCTTAAACATTTTACTGGATTTTGGGCTGAAGTTTTAATGTTGACTACAGATGAATTGTAATTTTTTTATGTTTTAAAAAGTTACATGTAAAACAATATAGTTATCATGCTACGTACCAAGGCTTATCTACTACACACTTCGATGAAAATTGTATAATTATTCTAACTTCTACTGCATGTTTTCATTTTCTGAGTGTGTGTGTACAGATTAAATGAAATTCCACATATACTATAGATTAATTAAAATACTAATGTAAAAATGCTGTAAGAAATCATATCTGGACACACAATGTTGATACAAATTGGTTTTCAAATATCGTAAGAGGGGCTTGCCTATAACTGTTCAAATGGAAACGATAAAAACTTGTAGGAACGTTGTTCTGTACATTCTACGATACTAGCAAACAGACTCTAAGGCCTGTATTATGTAGTCTGCCCTAACAAGCGAAATTTGTAGAAAGCCTGATTTTAATATCGTTTATTTACTAAGTAGCATGAAGCCTAATCTGCACTGTTTATCATTTAAATAACATAAAGATTAGTCTGACTATTTATCATCTAAATATCATAGTGCTTAGTCTGAACTGTTTATCATCTAGTTTTAGGTCTCGTTTGAAAACCATTACAACTTTTGTATATGATCCTGTGTGCTAACTTTTTAATCAGAAGTGTTCATCGTCAAAATATCATAGAGCTAAATCTGAGCTGTTTGCCTCATATTGCATCAATAATATTAACATAAAAACAAGAATTATAATAACCTAGCCTGCCTACACTATAGACTTTAGTCAAGCTGCAAAACTAGCTTGCAAATATTATAAAATTTTGACTTGTAAAGTAATCTAATTTACTGCAATGCTTGTATTAACAAACACACACACACACACATATATATATATATATATATAGTTGAAGAACAATGCATATATTTAAAGAGCAATATGATAATTTTTAGGATTTTAGAGAATTCTGATGTAACAGTAAGCCTTTTTTTAAACAATAGATCGAATTTAATGGTTAATTGCCTTTGGTTATGTTACATAAAGAGGATGGATTACGTAGCAATTTTTTTGAGTTAACATGCTAGAAAGCTTCCAATTTTGAGAAAACAAATCAACCAGCTTATTTTATCTTGTTAATTCTTTAAACAGAAAAAAAGATGTATTGATATCATAATAAAAATGATAATCAAAGATACGTGAAGGAAATAAATAACCTCGTACAAATACAAATAGACCACTTATTACTAACTAGAATTTATTTTCTAGTCGTGAGGCTATTTCAATCTCTACAGGGGAATTCCCAACATGAGTAAGATTAAACTACCAAATTGATCCTCTCATGCACAATTGGGTCCCAAGTGATTTTTTATTTTTTTTTCTGTTAGAGAAATGATTACACTTGTTGAAGGGGAAATCGTCGGCAACTAACTCAGTAGTTAGAGGATTTATGGCTACAAAACTTTTGGTATTGAACATTTGAACCAAAGTCCAAGCTTATTGAAGAAAAAACAACAAACAAGTACAAATGGTGATATATTTTGATTTTGACAGGTAAACAATAAATTTTCAAAATATTTTTAAATTATCAGTGACGAAATTACAGTGCCTAAATCTTAAGAAAGGAACATTTGTCGATAATCCAACAACAAATCTCAAAATCTACATTGCACCAAAGTAAGTTTATAAGTGGCTTACAGAATAATTATACGAAAAGATAACAAAGTACCAGAACTGCAGAAGTTTTTGTGTGATTGATCTGACTATCATATTATATATTCTGTATATACTACCCGTCAAACTTCCAACAAAAGTTTAATGTTCCTTAATACTATACATTAATTAACGCAACTAAGTCTATGAGGTTTATGTATTAACATAAAAAAATCCAGAATACGAGGATATATTATAATAGTGTAGTAATATTAAGCTTTTACTGTCATTGGAACATGAAGGCTGAAGGTTATACCAACGTAATAAAGCAAGGTTATACGAATATTTTCTTTGTGTACTATTATTATGACTTTTAAGGTAATACCATAATAAAGCGAAATTGTAATAATTCGAGAATTACATAACGTATAGTATTATGTTAATTTATTAGAACATGATAGTTATAGCATAATGAAGCGAGATTGTAAGGATATGAGGATTGCTTACTGTAACTTGTAAGACTGTTTGTCAATAATATTAACATGTGAGGGTTATATATAATAAAACAAAGGGTATAATAATAAGAACCTTTTATACCGTAGTGAACAGTGTTATTACAAATACCACATGAAAGTTATACGTAATAAGAAAAGGTTATCATAATAATACGAAAAATGTACGTTGGTAGATCTATAGTTTAGTATGCTCAACTTGAAAGTTGAAGAGTTTGATGACCCGTATTTTCTGATATAAGACAGAAAAATTTAGACGTTAGAGAACAGTATCGTAATGATATTCACCAAAGGAGGAAAAAAATATAGTAATACATACTGAAGGAGATAAAGAATGATATTGCTGTTATATCACACTGTAACATATACAACATTACTGTATAATACCGCAAAGGAGGAAGTAATATTGTAATGATATCACACTGCAAACGGTAAAGTAATACTAAAATAATACACTCTGAAAATAGAAAGCAATATTATAGTGATATATATATATACAATAGATAATATTTTAGTGGTACCACAATGGAGGTAGAGAATAAATTGTACTGTAGTGAAATAACACAGAAGACACGGAAAAATATTGCAGTGATATGTTTTAGTAAATGTAACTTAAAAACACAGGAAAAAGTATTGTATAATTATTATACAATTATTACTTTATTCAGAAGTGAATAAAGTATTAGAGATTAATATTATAGTGATTTCACACTAAAATAAAGGTAAATACATAGTAATGAAGAACAAGAAGGCAAAGTATTGTAACGATATGATATTGAAAAAGATAAGGAATAGTGCTGTAGCAGAATTTCATTAATATTAGTTATAGTATACAATAATGGTCTTTACTCAAATCGAAAAGGCAGCAATGCAAGGACATCACAAACGTGAAACTTATCTCTTAAACTAAAGAAAAATAATCATATATTGAACAGAAAAACGTTAATCTTCTAGCAATTTTGCTTACCTTCAATGCGTTTGAGAAATAATGTCTCTTGTTTTAAAATAAAAACTAATGTGACAAGAACAACCTGCACGATAAACAAGAAATAGTCGTAATGATAATCACACTATTCGTCGTTGAGACGTTTACGAATTCAAATGTTTGAATCACGTGTAAGTTCAGTCCGTTACGACTCGCTTGCTTAACCGTCAACGGGCGTTCGTTGTTCCGTAAATTTCTGCTTGGGGTTCTGCTTAGAAATTATTATTATTTATTGGCTATGATAAGACTACTTTTTAAAATATAAAATTAGTCTGTTTCTTTCAGAAAAAACACTTAAGTAGAAAGTACGGAGATTATTATAGCTTGTTTTTATTTATCTGTCATTTTATTTATTTATTTATTTTTCATGCAGTTATGAAAAACTACTTGATGCATAAACAAGTACATAATTCTGAAATCTGTTTTAGAATTAAAGTATTTGCTTCTGTTTGAACTCTGTTTTAAATCATTGTGGTATATAATTTTGCATCTGTTTTAAATTATAAACACACTAAATGAAAGTAAGGGGTTAGAGAAAACTAAGCCATCATAGGATTACATTTGAACTATTAACTTTATACTGTGTCCACACACTTGAAGTTTTTCGAGTACTTTTTGTTTATCAATCTGAATATTAGATCTGAATTTGTTCCATAACTAAGTTCCTTTCTAGAAAAACTAAATTAAATGTTTTTAGGGGATAGTTTCCCATACCTAGTCTCTAACAAACTATGGATTTAGTTAGTGAATACACAAAACATTTGTACTCCAAAACTTTACGTCTTCACGCATAACGAATACAGATTGAATGTAGAACAAAAAGTGATTAGGATATTATTTATTGATAGAACGTTCAGTTATTATATGCGTTCATCTGATGAAAAAACAACAACTAAAAAAACATACAGACACATGTGCCACTGTTCCTGTTCGTGACGTCACAAGTATATAGAGCTAAACGAATATCTTGGATAAGTGTTTTCAAACAACAATACATTTATATGTGTTTCACAATGAACATTTTCAGAGTGACATGTGTTGATATAACATATGAATTACACAAGAAACAACAGACAGTCTGATCAATTTACAGACTAGTGTAATATTTCTTTTAAGTTGAATGTTACAATTTCCAGTGCAACGTAAACATGTACATTTCAATAGACTATTCAAAGTCTTATTTTACCCATGATAATATAAGTATCCAAACTTAAAAATAGTGATTACACTCAAACATATTTCAACCTAAACAATACACATATATGTATGTTTCAGCAGCTTAATTCGTTCTATAACTTCCCACTTGACAATTTACCTATTAAAATCTAGGAAGTTAACAACAAAACGCATAGAATGGACTTTAGTTTTTTCTTGACAATGTACATATCCACGCTTTAATATCCACAAGTTACTGACACTATTTCAATTCACGTCAGATGTATGAAAGCGTTAGTAGCTGAATAACACTTGCTAACAATTAAATATTAAGTCTTAAAGTTTTCTTGAAATTATACGCACACAAAAAGTTTGCTAACAAATATTTGTATTTCGCATTATACATTCTTCATATTCTTAATTCCATAATGAGTGAAAAGTTTTCATAATGATTGTATTGGTCCTTAAATTCTTATTGGCATCACAAGCTTAGAAATCTCGGGCACTTTGCTAACAGTTATTCATTTTCATAAAAAAGACGCCTATATATGTATCTATGTTTACTCCATTTTTGAACTATTCGCATGATATTTGATAAAACGAATTGCAATTTTGAATGTAGGCTCTTGACCATCACTAAACACAATTTGTATATAATTCATTGATAATTGTATGTTTTTCTTGCGTTGTTTTAGAAGACGTACATGAGTAATTAGGTAAAAGAAATAATACTCTGAAGACTGTAATACCTTAATTAGTAAGTAAGAGAAAGAGTGTTCTAAAAACCGTAAAATCTGAGTTACCAGATAAGAGAAAGGGTGTTCTGAATACTGTAACATCTAAATTACCAGATAAGAGAAAGGGTGCTTTGAAAACTGTAACATCTAAATTACCAGATAAGAGAAAGGGTGCTTTGAAAACTGTAACATCTAAATTACCAGATAAGAGAAAGGGTGCTTTGAAAACTGTAACATCTAAATTACCAGATAACAGAAAGGGTGTTCTGAAGACTATAACATCTGAGCTACCAGATAAGAGAAAGGGTGCTCTGAATACTGTAACATATGAGTTACCAGATAAGAGAAAGGGTACTCTGAATACTGTAAAATCTGGGTTACCAGGGAAGAGTAAGGGTACTCTGAAGACTATAACATCTGAGCTACCAGGTAAGAGAAAGGGTGCTCTGAATACTGTAACATATGAGTTACCAGATAAGAGAAAGGGTACTCTGAATACTGTAAAATCTGGGTTACCAGGGAAGAGAAAGGGTACTCTGAATACTGTAAAATCTGGGTTACCAGACTGTAACATCTAAATTACCAGATAAGAGAGAGAGTTTTCTGAAGACTGTAACATGTGAATTACCAGATAAGACAATAAGTTTTCTGAAGACTGTAACATCTGAATTACCAGATAAGAGAGAGGGTGCTCTAAAGACTGTAACATCTGATTCACCGGATAAGGGAAAGGGTGATCTGAAAATGGTAACATATGAGTTACTAGATAAGAGAAAGAGTACTCTGAATACTGTAAAATCTGAGTTACCAGAGAAGAGAAATGGTGCTCTGAAGAATTTAACATCTGAGTTACCAGATAAGAGAAAGGGTGCTTTGAAGACTGTAAAATATGTGATGTTTGATTTTTATTCCTAAGTATGTGAAGCAGCAGTAATCCTTAATTCGTATTTAACAAAACTAAAATATCGGGAATAAAACCCAAACTATTTTTCTATTCACTGGAGCTAAATGCTAATCATACATTCAATCATTTAAGAATAATAACAGTGTATATTTTTCTCATATAAACATACATACTTATGGATCAATGTGTTTACGGGCAAAGATTTGATTAATTAAATATTTTATTAAAAAATTGCAGAGTAGAGTTATTAATTTGCCAACCTTTTACCACAAGGCCTTAATTGCTAATACCGGAAAACCTGACAACCTGAGTCAGGTTGTACACAGTAATGGCATTGTTTCATTTCAGTAGACTAAAATATGTACATTAGATTCCACCTTTTCCTTATAATAAATAGACTAACTTAAAATATATTATTTGTATTCTACTTTCTTTCTGACAACCTACGTTTTTCATGCCTCAGTACATTAAAATATGTACATTAGGCTCCACCTTTTCTTTATAATACATAGACTACCTTAAAGTATTTTCGTTGTATTCCACTTTTTTCCCTGACAACCAACGTTTTGTATGCCTCAGTACATTAAAATATGCACATTAGGCTCCACCTTTTCTTGATAATACATAGACTAACTTAAAGTATATTCGTTGTATGCTACTTTCTTCCTGACAACCAATGTTTTGCATGCCTTAGGATAATAAAATATGTACATTGGGCTCTACCTTTTCTTTATAATACACAGACTAACTTAAAATGTGAAGAAGAGCAGTCAACTATTTGAAAGCGCTCGAGTTTTGGGTCTCGTTTTGAAAATATTACAACTTTTGTAGGTGATCCTGTGTGCTAACTACTTAACCTGGATTTGAAATATGTTCGCTGTAGTTTATGAAAGCAGTTACAAACTCAGTTTATTTCTAAACATTATTACCTTTGGTCATAGTTATATTATGGACCACTTTCTATGTTGATCCGAACTTTGTAATATAAGTAGAGGTATATCCATGAATCTCAGCTCATATTATTATTCAATAAAGCAGAGAGTAAGCTTGAAAACGTAATCGTGGTCACAAAAGTTTTTAGAAAAACTGTTTTTTCAGAGATTTCTGAAACTGCAATGAATTGCTTGAGGTTTGAAATCTAGATAATTTCTAAATTATGGTTTATCTTGATAAAATTATGAATAGAGTTTTTGTATCACAGTAATGTTAAACCAGGGGGTTAGGCTATCACCTTCTGATAACATATATAATTATCGATAATGTTAAATGTCCATTGAAAATACACGGGAAACAATAACTACACACAACAACAAAATTTAAAACTTACACGTCCATGCCAGTTTATTGTAACTCTATGTAGTCAATCCTGAAAATCCCCAAAATACCATTGATTTTCCTTTACCAAAATTTTAAAAATCTAAGTTTATAAATATTTATAATGAACGAGACTTTACATGTTCATGTATTTGTGTGTGTGTGTGTGTGTGAATGCGTATATCCGCTCCTTAGAGTCCCCCCAAAACCCTTTAACCTCACGTGGGGAACTCCATTTCAAAATGTTTTGACTCTGAATTAGATAATTGTTTTGAATAATTCCTTACAGGTCAATACCAATTTCAAGCAAATTGATTCAATTAATCCTGAGAGGTCACTCTGATTCCCAATTTGTTTTTATCCTGCTGACTACTCTTTCCAATTTTTTTATCTGTTAATATTTTGTGTGGGTCAAGAGCCTACATGCAAAGTTTCAAGTAGTTTTTATCAAATATTGTGCGAGGCGTTCAAAAATCGAGTAAACACAGAAGCATAGATACATGCATATGTACCGTTCAGAATTACTGTGTAGTTGTATTCTTATCACAGTCTTGTTATACCACGTGGTTAAGCCATTACTTTTTGATAACATATAAAAGAACAGGCAAACTTTGAAGTAAACGTAGCTATGAAACAAAAACAGCTACAAACAAAGATAAATTAGACATTTTTTAAGACAAATTTTACTTGATACAAGAAGCAAGCCATACAAATAGATAAACGAGATGAAATATTTGAGTTTACAATATTAGCCTACCACAGCCATTTAAATTTTGCATATGTTAGGGAACTTAAGAATAAAAACTAAATTAAATTTGAGGCATATTTTTCTGAAGAAGGAGAAACTGAAATATGGTGAAATTCAAACTTGACTTTGCTCTATTCAACTGAGCAAACGCTGACTTTATCAGTCTTTTTCTTTTTAAAGAAACAAATACACAAGAGTGTTAAGTTGTACAAAAAAGTAACAGTCTTTAAAGCTCAGAATCTAGTCGATGTCATTTCAGTACAATGTTCTAATTTACTTATTTTAAAAAGCTAAAAACATAAATACTGGGTGTTATAATATGTGAGGCACGGTAGCTTAGTTGGGGAAAGTATTTATATACCTAATAATATCGCAGTTTCGACTCAGTTTGGAATTATTTAATTCACAAGAGCACATGGATTTTTTATTTTTATTTTTGCAATAGATAATCAATTATTAGTTTATATTTTGTGGTTTTACTGTAATTTTTGAAAACTAAAAACAGAATATTGTGAGTCTTACTTTCAAGACTCACGACGTGTCACACATGACTCTTTTCTCCAGAATAATTTAAAGTTAGATATTTTCATTAGTGTGAATTTTCCTCTGTGATACACATACAGAATCGAAAAGTTTATGGTAGAATATATTTTACACAAATATTATGATATTTCTTAAAACAATCTAAATATAAAACTCCGCGTTTTCAAGAACTTCTGCCTATCATATTATTTTTACCAAACAAGAATATGAAACATAGGTGAAGGATAAGAAAACATGATTGGTGAGGATTTAACTAAAGATCCAGTAAAATGGGATGAAAGGAATGGTCCTATAAATGAACACGTGCAAACTAATCAATTACTCACCGGCCCTGTCCTGATTTGTTTTAGCAATTCTTACTGTAAACCCCCTTGCCCTTTCATAGGGTGGCACTGCACTTTGAAACAAGATACTACTGAATATATTAAACTTTTAACGGATAAAGTTACGGCAAAAGCTATGTATTTGTGGAGGAGCTATATCCTTTATCATGGAACTGTCACAAAGTGAAGCTGCAGCTAAGACAAGAATAACACTCTTTCACAACTTTTCAAATATCAGTTTCAACCAATATTATGTTTCTACGGTAAAAAGTAAAAGTTCACTTATTTTGTAAAATATTTTTTGCTATTAAAAAAACGTTTAGGTTATGTAGTTTTGTATTAAAAAAATACGAATTTTAACGACACTAAATGCTAAAGTTTTTGTTATCTTTTCCTGTAATTATTGTTTTTGTTTTTCATAAATACAATATGTAAAATTATTAGTTATTGACGTCACTTTCAAGTCATGTGTATGTTTTCTATTATAAAAATCAATTACTGCATTGTATAGTGATTTCAGTTGCAAAGAATAATTGATACCCCATATAGATGTATTGCTTGCTACATTACTTATTATATTACGTAAATATTTCTGTTATAAAGAATATTTATTAAGTTGTGTCAACTTTTCATCCAGTGAAACACATATTTTTTTATATTGTTTTCGATTTTAATAAGAGATCCTTCCATCGAACAAAATATATTACTTTATCAAATGATTTGATTGGTTCGGTTGTTGAAATGGAAGCCAACTAAGTTCTAAGAATAACTATAGTAACAGCATACCTTGCAATTCGATTTCGCTTCTTCTAGAACCACATCTTATTACACCCTTAATCTTTTATTCCGAACTTGCTCGTAGTGCTTATGAACGCACGTGTCTTCTAGTGTCAAGTGTCATCCAGCTAGTCATGGGAGGGCAGTAGAACTGGTGTCTCGTGATTTAATAGGATTTCGGCAAGAAAAATAGTCTGATTACTCATTTGACTTAAAGCCAGAATTTAAACAGTAAACGTTAAAGGTATAATTTTTCATTACACATCCCAATGTTTCTTTGTCGTTTTGTTATTTCTTTAGTACCTATAAAACACAAGTAGGCCCTACCTAATCACCAGGTCATATTAAGGTCACTAGTTTGAAGATAAGCAGTTGTTTAAATACTATATGTACTTATAAAAGTCGAAGACAAGTTAGTTTAGGAATAATGTGCATCATTTGGAGGTGAAAAAACAAGTCGATGATTTTGGTTGTTATCCTAGTCTTAACTAATTTGAACTGTAGTTGATCGTTATTTTCGTAAACTGCTTTAATATTAAAAAGAAGGAAAAATTCAACGTATGTGACACCTAGATCATCAGACCTGTTTTAGCTTGTTGTAAAAGACCACCAAACCTGTTCATCTGTTCTGTCTTTATTTTTCATTTTGAACAAGATAAGGGTGACATTACATTAAAATTTAGAGTAATGGCCTAATGTTCAAAGAAAAACATCTCAAATCTATTGTATTAACCATCAAAGTGCTTGGTATTAGGTATGGTTTTCAGTATGAAGTTCCCTGAACAAGAAATACGTCAGAACATAACTGTAACTAGAGAGGATTAATGATGTGACGAGAGCTTGAGCAAAATAAGGACGGAAAAGACTAGGCAATGATATTTTTCAAACAACTTACCAGTGTACGCCTGTGATTCTGACGAAGTCAATTTAAATAGTCTTATGATTCATTATACAGCACTTGGTTACACTGATAGAGTGTACTGTATACCTTGTCGTTTTATATTATTCTGTACTAAGTTGTACTTTACTGTGATGTTCTATAGCGTAACGCATTGTACTGTACTGTAGAATAGATTACTTACATCTGTTATAATAATATATACTATAATTTTATGTTACATTATGCTGTAACATACCATACTACATTATATTATATTATACTTTACCATAACATTCTATACCCTTCTATTATACCACATATGTATATATAACAATAACTATAAACAGTATTTATATCTGGTTAGCGTTTGCTTTCCTTTTCTTTTGTAAAATATCAAATCAAACATTATTGAAGCTATTATTTGTGATGGGGCTGAATGGAAGTAACGTAATTGACTACATCAGTCAAATATCAATTCACAATGCACCTGAAACACTTAAACCTAATCATTCAAAACAAGTTCTAGTTCTCCGATCTGGAGAGATCCTACAGAAATTAAGCATCGAATATAATACAATTTGCTGTCCGTGTATTAAGTTTGTACAAGAAACACTGTGAATCTAAAATATTTTATAATATCTGAAAGGAATAAGAACGCGTTTGGTTGTTTATGGTGAAAATAATGTAAGAAGCACTACCTCCCATGTTGGTGGAATATGTTTTCAAATTCCACATTAATTTATGGAAAAAATGAAAGGAGTAAATTTTTCATGGAGTTTTGTTTGTTTGCTTCGAATAGTTAGGTAAAGCAACATAAGGGTTCTCTGCGCTAGCTGTCTTTACTTCTGAACTGATGGAGTGAAAGAAAGGTAGCTAATCAACAGCAATTAGCTCCAACTCTTGGCTACTCTAATCGCGTATTGGGAGTTGACTGCCACTCTTTTAACACAGTCATGGCTCCAAACAGGAGGGAGTGATTTTGTTGCAACGGGACCTGAACCATGGATCCTTAAATTCACTGTGAGGAATGCTAACCACTAAGCCATGTCGAACTCGTTTTGCTATTGAGTATTTTTTATTCCTCTAAATAAGCATTTATTTTGATATTGATTGAACAAGTACTCAGATTATTCACAAATCAATGCAATTATTGCAAGGAATACAAATTAACTTTTTTTAATAGTTCAATAATACCTCATTTCATGAAGACTGAATAAATCAAAATAATTAAAAGTACAATGAATGACACCTAAATAAATCATGGTAATATTTTGATGTATTTTCCGACTAATTATTTCCTTCATTAACCTCTAATAAGGCTTTTTAACTACTGGTGTAAGAGACAACCCTACCAGTCATCAATGGAAACTCAAATTGATGTTAATTTTATAGTTATTTTACCGCATTCTCAAGACACTATTATAGTAAGATCTTTACTTCAAAGGTGTTATCTAGATAAGGAGACGATGTAATTATTTACACCGAAACATGTAGAATTTTAAGTTTCTTTTAACTTGTATATCTTTAATTTTTAACTTGACAAATAAATGTTTGTGCAAGTAAAAAACTATGATTTTCGTTTCATTATTTTATTTAACATTTTTGCACAAGAACTGTCAGTTTTTACGTATTATGTAAACCTGACAACAAATTGTGATAATCAGGTAAGTGTACAATTTATATAAATCTAATAACAAATTGTGATCATCGTGTAAGTGTACAAATTATATAAACCTATCAACAAATTGTTATGACCGGGTAAGTGTACAATGTATATAAAACTAACAACAAATTGTGATGATCAGGTAAGTGTACAATTTATACAAAACTAACAACAAATTGTGATGATCAGGTAAGTGTACAAATTATATAAATCTAACAACAAATTGTTATGACCGGGTAAGTGTATAATTTATATAAAACTAACAACAAATTGTGATGATCAGGTAAGTGTACAATTTATACAAAACTAACAACAAATTGTGATGACTGGGTAAGTGTACAATGTATATAAATCTAACAACAAATTGTTATGACCGGGTAAGTGTACAATGTATATAAAACTAACAACAAATTGTGATAATCATTTAAGTGTACAATTTATATAAACCTAACAACAAATTGTGATAATCAGTTAAGTGTACAGTTTATATAAATCTAACAAATTGTGACGATCGGGTAAGTTTATAATTTATATAAACTTAACAATTTGTAATGATAGGGTAAATGTTCAACTTATATAAACATAAGAATAAATTGTGACGATTGTAGAATTATGATATTGATAATAACACTGAATTTGGATTTATACAAGCGAAAATTAATTATTTCGAATCACAGGCAATTCTTTGTGCCATTTTCAGTTATTTTTTAATGTCTAACAGCAAAATAAAATTCATCATGTATAGATTTTAAGAAGAAATCAGCGTCAGATATAACATGTTGTGACTGTATATCCATACATAAGTTACTATAAGTTTGAATATTTGATCATATTCTGTGAATAAAAGAATTTGGTGTAATTACATCTGAAGATACGTTCTTCTTCTTCTTTTTTTTTTTTTTTTGTAAATGATAATGTATTTCTTCAATTACGCCCAGTTAAAGGTGTCCAACTATCCATAACACCTTTAATTTTCCAGATCTTCAAAATTTTGAGTTCCTTGTTAATTGGTTCAGTGGCAAGTCTGAAGGTTTATAACGCTAAAAACCGGGTGTTGATACTTGTGGTGGGCACAGCAAAGATAAACCATTGTGTAGCTTTGGTTTAACAACAACCAACTAAACAAAAGCAAATACTTGTTAATATATTAGGAAATAGGAAGAGAAAAAAGCAGCCTCAAAGCGCAGAGCGCGTTTTTACGACAACGGTCAATAAACCATGAATCCTCAAATTGGCAGTCAGAGCACGCTATCCACTAGGTCAAGTCCGGTCTACCAAAAGTCTATGTAAAGAAAAATGTAGTATAAAGCATTTCAAGATAAGGGTCAGTATCTTCACAGTCTTCCTTGATACACATGGAAATGTTATTGTATCATTTCCGACCACAGAAGAAAGAAAGTTATAAACCTCAGTACTGTTTGAACTACAACACATTAGTATCCTGGTATTACTTTGTGATTTAAAAGAAAAATGAGTAAATTAATATATTTTCAAAGCCACTAGTTTAACCACCTACATCATTCAAGTAAAGTTTAAACCATAATTCCGCGGTTTCTGAGCACCCCTAGTTGTCTCTCAAACCCCTTCGGGGCTTGTTAGATTTTAAAACAAAACTCCTGCCAATTTTATGTTGTATTTTATTTATATTAATACCTTGTTCAACGTATTTCTTTGTCTGTCTCGGGTAAATTTGTGTTGGTGTGTCTAACCCTAAGAACTCTTCGCTAATCTGTCTCGGCATTTCCAACGTCTTTGGTGACATTCTTCATGGCAGCTAGTATATGTATGTGTATATATATATATATATATATAATAG